GTCCTCTCTCTCTCTCTCTCGCTGTGATCTCTGTTCTTTCTCTTTGATGTTTGTGCAATGCTTATTGTATCGGCCTCTCTCTATCTATCTATCTTCCTATGCTCTCTCTCTCTCTCTCACTCGCTGTGTTCTCTGTTCTTTCTCTTGGTGTTTGTGAAATGCTTATTGTATCGGCCTGTGTGTGTGTGCGTCTCTGTTTGTTTTTTCTTTTTGTTGTTTGTGACCTATACACTGTAAATGGAGTAAGAGACAGTTCTGCTCCCTCTCCTCTCTCTATCTTTATTTTTGCTGTAAATTGAGCTCTGGCCTTCTCTCCCTCTCTGTGCTTTATCTTTGTTTTAAATGGATTCTCTCTGCATATGAAAGGCCTATGAAAGGCTATGTTTCCGGCTTTCTTTCTATGTTCATTATTCTTTTTCCTCTGTTGCATATGAAAAGTTTTATGCATAACTAAAGTTTTATGCATAACTCTCTTTCTGTTTGTTTTACAATGGATTGTTTTGTACCTATTTTAACCCTCCCATTCTGTCACTTTTGTCCCTCTCTCTCTCTCTCTAGCTGCATGAACGGCTGTGTTTATTCCTTTCTAATTGTACATTCCACGCCTGTTCCCTTTTCTTCTCTCTTGCTGTATACAAAACAATGGTTTACCTTCTTTGATTGAGCGGTTATGAGGAAACTTGGGGTTTTCTTACTTTGCGTACTTGGATTGAGCTTTTATGAGGCTTCTTGTTTTAGGAGCATTTACTATATTTTCCTGCTATTTTTGCGTCGCGATTGGCAAGTCCGCCATAATAGATTCTACTCAGTACAAACTCTAGGGATGTTTTATCTGTGCAACAATATTGTGATCTATTTTATCTCGGTTGAGTATTTGCTTGAAATCTACCGTCAGGATATGATTAGAGGGACGTCCTCTGAATAAATATTTCCCATTGTCATTTTAGCACATAATTGGTAGAGGAAACATGCCTTTCTTCATCTAGTATATGATTGACTTAGTACGATGCTGTTGGTTTGTACTTGGATTGTTTTGAGGTATTTTTGTAGGGTTCCTGTAATTTGAGTTTGCTAAAGGTGTGTTTTGGAGTGTGCTTCATGTTCCAGCTTCTGCTTTGTTTGTTATGGAGGAATTTGGAATCGTGGGATAGCCAGATGTTTAGCCCTTGGATCTGGGAATAATTGGAGAAAACATTTGGATGAGTATAATAGTAAAAACCTCTGTTTTAAGCGATGACTTGGGTTAGGACTCGTTATAGTTCTGAAAGCAAGGCAGACAACTTGACTCAGCCAAATATGTTAAGAGTCTTAGCCGAGTCCTTAAAAAAATTACATTGAAATCCTGCCCAATGATTTTGTTTCCAAACGCGACAGCCTGCAGAGTCTGAGTTGGACTCCATGAGTTTCCAAACATTCGTAAGAACAATTGTCTTGAATCTCTCATTTATGTTCTTTCAGAAGTTGGTACAACACACACAGTGTAACATTTTATGCCTTATGATTCAGGATTGCTTCTTCTTTAGAGAGCATGATGTTCATGATTGATATTTTCTTTTTTAGCTTTAGCCCAAAGTATGGATTCTTTAGTCAGAGAAGCATGGTGAAGAACCTTCAAACATTTGAGGTCTTGCTTGAGCCTATCTGCTTACATAAAGTGAAGTTGACATCAATGCTGCACTTTATATTTTGTACGGGAAACTTTAGATTCCTATTCATGAAACTCCTTGTGAAGTAAAGCATTTTTCAAGATTGCTTGACATCCATCCAGCATATTGGCCAAAACTTGTGAAGTGATTGTTGTAGCTTTGATTTCATCCTTAAGAATCATAATGTTTGCTGGTGGAACAGAGTTCTTCTCATTATCATTCGTGTATCATTGAGCACAAAAGCTCTCTAAAGATCTGTCTTTACCTTATAGGTTTACTCATTTTCATTTACTTCCCATTGTTATAGAGAACTCAAATCTCATATTTGATCACTTTGTGTCTGGATTTCTTCTCATGCTGCTCACCATGAACTATTGACACATGTGACTAGTAGCCTCTTTGTAGGACCTACACTTTAGAGTCCAAGGGAAACTGAAAATGAATGGTGCCTTGCAGTTGAAGTTATCAAATGGATGATACAACTAGAAGTTGGCCAACATTCTTTTGGAATGATAATATTGGTGACTCCCTGCTGCAGATCATCTTAAGGATGGGTTCCTTCTGAAGTTGCATCTGACATGTGCCTTGCAGTTGAAGTTATCAAATGGATGATACAACTAGAAGTTGGCCAACATTCTTTTGGAATGATAATATTGGTGACTCCCTGCTGCAGATCATCTTAAGGATGGGTTCCTTCTGAAGTTGCATCTGACATGTGCCTTGCAGTTGAAGTTATCAAATGGATGATACAACTAGAAGTTGGCCAACATTCTTTTGGAATGATAATATTGGTGACTCCCTGCTGCAGATCATCTTAAGGATGGGTTCCTTCTGAAGTTGCATCTGACATGTACCATATAAACTCATACAGTGTGAGGTTCGAGTATATGTGCACAATTTATGTTTTTTGGTAGCACACTCGCTGTTACTTTTAAGGTATGAAAGATGTGTGAATGCATATTCAGCTTTTACATCTTAGGCTGGCACAGCAGTAGGATTTGAACTTGGGAAATAATGTTGCAATTGTCAGTACTTTAACTAATCAAGCCCAAAACCGAGTCCTAGTGAAGGTATATTCAACTGAATTATGTGAATAACATATATAATATATGTTCTTAAATTGTGACATTATTGGATTCTGAAGTGCTTGCACATGTAATTTGTGTTATCGATTTGTAGCACACTTGTTTTCTTTGCCATAGTTTATGAGATGAGTCGATGAATACTTGCTTGAGTTATGCTGTTTTTCTCAAACTTACTCCTTAGTCGTAGTCTCAGGATTTCTTCGTGTTCTCGCTATTATTTGGACATGTCTAATATATACACTTTACAATCTTTGCTCTCTTGTTTTTACTTTCCAAGAACATATGCAATACTGAGTTGTCATGGCAATTCACAGCATTCCACTTTCAGAGCAAAAATCTGCACCTTTGATTTACTGTTGTTTGTCATTGCTGTAGTTGCATTTGCTACAATTAATATACATAATCATTGGATTTTCTTGAAGAATGAATGCCTTCATTTTGTTCCAATGATTTACTTGCTTTTGTTCCTTTCTGGATAGCAACCTTCTGCTGCTGCATTTCTTTTTGATGGATGCGGCCTTATGCGGCTTCTTTTGTATCTTCTCTGAAATTGTTCAATGTTAAGATGTCTCATTTTTCCAGGATTTCAGCTATAACGATTGGAAGAGGATGTTGATAGATATAAATAGGTTTTTGAAAGCAGATACAGCCTTTATGAATAGAAGACCCCTGAGGTACAGTGTGGTCCTTGATGCTGATCCATATGCTCTTCCATCCGTTTCTTCTATAGAGGGCAAAAGGGCTCTAAGATTGAGTGATGCAATTCTTGGCAGCTACCATCACAATGAGGTTTGTGACTTTCTGAGAGAAGTCCAAAATTTGTGGTACACGTGTAATGCAGTAGTACTGCCAATTCTATCCACAAATCTGTATACATCAATTATTGTCTTCATTTGGCGCAACTTGGTGTATACTCTTTTGGTTTTTCAATGGAATGCTTATTTTGCTTATAAATGAAACAAATAAAAAATAAAAAAAGTCTATCATGTCATCTAATGTGGCTTTGAGCCATCTGTTATTTCCCAGGTAAAGTTTGCAGAGCTTAATCTTGACTTGTTTAGAATGCTTCAATGTCTGGAGTGGGAACCAAGTGGTTCTTTCTACCCTAAAAGGTTGGTGGAGTCAAGTGAAAGTTCCTGTGGTGAGGCTGGAGCTGCTGTACCCAAGCGTTTCTCATATATTGAGGGTCTAGTTGATCATTCTTTGCCACCAAATCCACGAAAAGCCATTTTGTACCGTCCAGCTGCTACACAATTCATATCGGTAAGTCTGGTCATGTAGGCATAGTATCTTAAGAAATCTGTTCGATTCTGCTCGCTTTATTTACTTTGTTTCCAGCCCTTACTTTAGCTGTTGTGTGTTGAAACTTGGATTTCATAAGCCACAAATCCCATCTGGTATTAAGGTCACTAGAATTGAATAATGGCGAAAGCAAAAAACCGGGTTACTGGAAATATGTATTATTTCTTTTCAGTCTAAAATATCTTTAAGTTGACAGAATATCCACAATTCAGCTGCTGAATCTTTTTTTATTTTAGTTCCAATAAGGTTTTCACTTTATTTAGATGGAAAGATTATGTGGAAGCTAAATATCATTAAATAATAAATCCTTGACCAGATTGTACTTATGACAACCTCTCCCTAGATGCATGTTCATTAGAGAGGAAGGTAACTCTTTACTTTTTTGCTAGTTTCTTGATACATTCAATGGGTATGTAACCTTTTTTTTGGTCTTGATATGTTCACTGGAAATTTACAAGTGGTAACTAACATAGTTTTAAGTTATTGATATGATGCTTACTGTGCTTGCAAGGAGACAAACTACAATATGCACTTTCACAATGATTTTGCTTCCAAGGTCGAGAGTTGTTGGGAGTATAGGTCCTCCAGTGATGATGGAAAAGACATTTTTACTGTGGTCAATTGCATCTTAGAATGCTAGGAGATGCCCATGCTATTCTTTAATCTTAATGGAAGGAATGAGATACCAGGATTTTCAAGACCAAATGGGATCAGCATCACTAGTCATAGATGGATTTGGATCTGTTTTATGTCTTTTCCATTATCACATTTATCGCTGCAATGTTTCAAACTCAGGTAATGGGCTGATTGGGGTGAATGATTTGTGTCTTGCCCAATGTTGGAACATGAGGACCCCTTTTCTTAGGTTGTTAAGAGTGTTCAAGGTAGAGAAGATAAATGTGTTCATATGTTGGTTGAAGGTGGAGAAGATGACTGTGTAAAAGGGGTGGAAAACGATCGGGCATGTTCTCTACTATATTGGTGTTTTATAGATGTAGGGAGCAGTTATCCTCATATCTTTAAGTGTGGCACCCCCTATTCTCCATTGAATATGCCTTTGGATGGTTCGGACATGGTACTTAAAATTACTTACAACGATGGGTATCTGATTTCCTAAATCGTGATTTTAGGTGTGAAAAGGTAGCCCTTAAACATCAATAATCCATTGGAGTTTTATGATTAGGGTCTACATTGTTTTTTGCTACAACTTCTTGGAGTTGTGCCTGGCTCCATGCGATGGTGCCCAAGTTTCTAAGTTTATGGGGCTCGATTTAGGTATCTAATAAAGGAGGTAGCGTTGGCTCACTTATTAAAGCATTTGGTGGTGGTGACTATGAATTGATACTGGTTTGATGACTCATGCGCAGATAGTGCTCGTTGAAGGAGGACTGGTCGTGCATGAGTATATACACTCTAGACATGCAGCAAAAACCCTAGGGATGGTGGTCAAGCTCGATTTCGTGAAGGCCTATGACCATGTTGATTGGGCTGTACTTGATGAGGTCATATTTACAAAATGGGTTTTGGTAACAAATGGAGGCCGTGGATCAATGTTGTATATGGGGGCCTACTTATCTGTCCTTATCAATGGAGCCCCTAAGGGCTTCTTCCCATCCTCTTGGGGTTTTTGCCAAGGGGACCTCCATCGCCTTTCCTCTTTTCTCTTGCAGCAAAGGTCCTATCATGGAGAGGCTTTTCCAAATGGCCTACTTGAGGGCTCCAAGTCTCAAGCCAAGGGCAACAGATTTTGGACCTATGACACCCTCATCTTCTGTTGTGCAACTGTCCGGCAGATGGGCACTCTATGGCTTTAACTCAAATGCCTAGAATTGGTCACTGGCTTTAAAGTAAACCATGCTAAGTCTAAACTAATGGAGACCGCTGCTGACCACCAATCGGTCTTAGCCTTGGTAAGCAGATTGAGAAGTGCTTCTAAAACCTTCCCTCTAAATACATCCGCTTCCTTTGTGCATTGCTAAACCTGGCAAGCAACAGTGGGCCCCCATTATTGAAAGGTTTGAACGCAGACTCACAGCTTGGAAGGGTAGATATCTCTCCTGGGCTGGTCACATCACTCTTATCAAGGCCACCCTATCTAACCTCTCAGTTTACCAGATGTCCTACTTGCCTCCGTAGCCCGAATGAGTAGAGAACCTAATGAGGGATTTCTTGTTGTCGGGCTCAAACGATTGTCACCATCTACTCTAGGTGGCCTAGAAAACAGTCACCCTACCCAATCACAAAGGGGGTTCAATCCAACAACCCATGGCAGTCAGTCATTATGTAAAAGTACCAGATTGATCCCCCAGTGCAGCTCCCCTCTTTCCACTCAACTGCTAGACCCTCGGGGGTGCGGCAGTCTATCACTACGAGCCTTGTTCATTTCAAACCTAAAATCTGGTTTAGTGCAATGGAGGGGACGAGTCAAATTCTGATAGGATACTTGGATAGGAAACAATTGCTTACATGGATGCTTCCCTTTTTTCTTCCTCCTAGCAGTGTGCCCAGAGGCTACCGTTGATCACTCCTATACTTTAGGGAACATTAGAGGCGGGAGCCCCATTTTTAGAAGGCCACTTCAGGACACGAGCTGGCTGATTTCTCCTCTCTATTGACTGTGCTTCGAAACAGGTTTTCTCCCCTCACAGGGATCTGATCGAATCATTTGCTCACCATTTGCCTTGGGCTTCTTCGCGGTTGCCTCTTTTCAAGGCATTCTACACCTGCTTCCTACTTCTCTCCCTCCCCACTACTCAGTGTCTAGAAGAGCTTGACTTAACCCATCCCTGGAAAAGATCCAAACTTTTGGCTGGATTGCTGTTTTCATAAAGGCCCTAACAGTGGACAGCTGCAATGCAGGACCTATGCTCAACAGGTGTTCCATGTGCAAACCAGCAGAAGAGACTAATGCTCATATATTTCTCCACTGCAATGTGGCCAAAACTATATGATGAGAGCTGTTTCAAATCTTTGCTTGGCATTGGGTTGCTCCCCAGTCAGTTCCTCAACTGTTCCAAGCCTTCTATTCACTTCCTTACATGGCAGCAGGCCTCTTTTGTGGCAAGCATCAGTGGTGGTGACCATTTGGACTTTCTGGACTGAAAGGAATGCCAGAATCTTCAGTGGAAGGAAGCCAACTTCCAAGGTCCTATTGGATTGCATCAAAGCAATTTGGGCCCCTAGCCATAAAACCCTAAGAGGGCTTGCCTCTTCGGACTTCCTCAACAGTTGGAACAACATTTTGACCTATGGACCTGCTAGGTTCTCGCACTTGTCCCTTTAGAGACCCCCAGAGACCAACCAAAAGCTAAATTTTGTCCGTTGCTCACTGGCAACATGGGCTTTGCGGGCTTTGGGTGCCTATCCAGCAATCACAATAGCAATACTTGTTTCTCATATTCTAGCCATCTTGGTTTAACTCAAACATGGTGGAAATGGTAGCACCGCTAGAGGGTATCAAGAGATATAACCAGGAGGGGGTTCTGTGGTTGTAGATGGAGATTAAAAGAAAAAGTCATAACGTGGGTCTCAGGTTCCTCCACCCATGGCGCCTCGAGTATATTTTTTGAGCATATTTTCTTTCTCTGCAGGCGTATTCACGTCTCCTTTTGGCATTCTTGGCAGGAGGCCAAACCGAGGGTGCATGCACTCACAAAGATGGGAGCTATTACATGGGTTACAGTTGGGACCTAACAACATTTTTTTAAGCTCGGTTCCACAGTTTTGGTTTTCTTTCTTTTTTGGATTTTGATTTGCTTACTATTGTACATCCTACTTTCTCAAGCACCATTTATTGCATATGATTTCCAAAACTGGTCTATTTAATGGGCCTACACCATCATCGTCCAAGCCTTTTCCCAACTAATCTTGGGTCGGCTACACAAATCTTGGTTGGCCATTTTGCTCTACTAAGGGGCATACCCTCAGTGAGGCCATATTTTAGAAAAGTTTTAAGTTGACTGCCTACCTAACACAATCTACCTCCTTTACCCAGGCTTGGGATGGGTTAATGGCAAGTTTAAGGTCCTCACTCTTTTTATATCACATCACGTTTTGTAATTTCCTGATATTGTAATACAAATACGTCATCAAAATTAAAAAAAAAAAAAACAATTGTGTTTCAAGTAATAAGTAGTGTGCATACTTACTAGTACCATCCTCAAATAAAAGATCTTTCCTGTTTATTCTTTCTAATGAATCATGGATGCTTGAAGCCTTGAGCTTACAGTATAATGGAGATCTCTTTTTTTTTCAGGTCCTTGCAGCAATCTGGGAGGATCTTGCACCTGATGGGATTTTACTAATATATCTATCTGCTGCGGGTAGATTATCTTGCTTACGATAGTTTATAGTAAAGACCGGTTCAAATTGTGGTTGGACTGGTAGAACCGGTGATCGGAACCTTGTCCGGTCCAATGTAGGCATTAAATTGGGTTTACATAGAATCGGTCAAAACCGGCATTTGAGTGGCATTGGACTGTCCAGTTTAGAAAGTTGAACTTAAATTCCATGTGTTTTTCAAATTTATTGCTTTTCTTTTTACAAAAAAAAAAAAATCGTAAAAAAATATTGAATCAACATTGGAACTCTTTATTGCCTAATTTTGTATCCAGAAATTATCATAGAAAAGAAACTATATCTTTGCTTTCCTTTTTACACAATAAAAAATTGAATTTGTTAAAATTTGCTTTTTCCCCACCCCCCCCTTGCGTTTGTGTTCACACGTGCGGCTTGCCCATGTAAATGTCTAGCTAAATATGTTTAGTTATTTAACATTGCTTAAATGAAATGAAATTTTTAATTAAATAAAATGCAATCTTTAATTATCTGCCAATGTTTAATCATGTTAATTTACTAAATCTTAAAATGTAACATTCAATCATTTAAGTTAGTTATAGTAAATTTTTAAGAATAATCTCTTATTTTTTTACTACATTTTCATTGGTTACCTTATGTTTTTCTAATTTTAAATGAATTTTTAAATATTTTATATTGAAAAAAGGTTCTACTAGTCTGAGCCCTGGTTGGGTCGGTTTCGATTGGACGGTCAGACCAGCCCCTTCCCTGATTCAAGCACCAATCTGGTCTTAATAAAACTGGTTTATAGAGCTGGCAGGTCTTCTTACTCTTTGACTAAATCATAAGGAATTTTTGCAGGGAAGGCCACATCATCAAGTTCAGGACTCCCTCTATCCTCTACTGAACAAAATCCAGGCGATATGCAAGCTCATGACTCTGTCTCTGATGGAAACTCTATTTCACCCGAGAGCTCTTCCCGTGATAGCCCAACTGAATCTCGTAATCTACATGAGGAGAATCACCATAATGGTTCTAGAGGTTGCCTACGATTGAGTTCTCGTGGAAATGAAGGTGACCTTTCCAACAATATCTTTGCAAAATTTAGCATGAGAGCGAATTTCTCTCATTTTTTTAAAGTATGCTATAGTCCAATGAACTGTGGCAAAACCATTATT